TGGTAGAACGCGCGTGATGTGACCGAAACTTCTCCCTGTTTCTCCTCAAAGAATAAATTTAAACCTCAATGGTGAGCTTTCATCACAGGATCCTTTACTAAATTATATATTTGAGTGGCTGAAATCGTTTTAACCTGTGTATGTAGAATGCAAGATAAAAAGTAACCTGTATGTAACAAAGAACGTTTATCGCCTTGTAAGTAAATCTACAGTCGTTTAAACGGTATGATTAAATCATGGAAGTAAACATCAGGCTGTAATGAATTATTTCTAAGGCTATACGGTTGATTTTGTACTAAAACAACATCTTGTTATTCGACTAACTTCTTTGAATCTTGTCACGTTAACTTCTAAATTTACGCGAAGACGTAATGCATTCTGATAGGATAAAAAGCCTTATCACATGGGCGTTCGAACGAGTTGAACAACTTAAGTTGACTTTCATGACGGTGACATTGTTTTTCACTTTTTAGCCCTGAAGGCGATCAGATGGTTTACAGCTGAAGGTAAGCTACAAAAGGCAAATTGGGAATGTTTGTTGTAATAATCTGAAATAACTGTAAACGATGTTCTGATGGATATACATCGTGTAGACCGGTAGATAAGACAAAGCGTTCTGGGCACTCTTTTCAAAGTTACAGGCGGTAGTGTTCATCGATTGCCAAGCTCGTGTCTAGGAATGTCTTTAATGAAGTATGATGTACATATGTCGGCTCGAATCTTGTATCTGTTGGCTTAGCTCGACAATCAAATCAGATTATTTTGTCCAGTTTACGTGAAATCTGCGACGTTGTACAACTGAAATTCCGTGTGTTGTTTATCTTAATGATCGATCTTTCAGTACGGTAATGGCTTTATTCTTCACAAGGCAAACTTTCAAAAACTCACAGTCGAAAGGCTTTAACTGAATTGACAAAAAAATGCTATGATTTGTCGATCCATCTTTGTGTGTATGAGGTTTCGACCTGTTTGCCTTCATGTCAAAGACTTAACGTTAAAAAAAAATAAAAATTCTTGACAAAAAATTACCAGCACCTTAAAAACGACTCATTAACGACGTGAACAAACCGACAAACAGACGGATCGAAATCGACCAATGACTGTTAACAAACTCTACACGAGTCTTCCAGCCAATCACATCACG